TAGCTCTACATATATCTTCTAACATTTAAGGAATGTCATTACTCATACCATCTGAGAAATTCTCAAACGAATTATCTTGACTATTTTCTACATTGCTAGTATGCCTAAGCTGAAATGGCTCACCGTGATGTATCCAAACCGTATAATCCGGCATAAATCCATATAGAAATATATCCTTTTTAACTTCTTCTATCCTCTTAAAGCAAGTATTGTTGCATCCTTTGCATGGACATCTAATCCTACCAAGTGCATCAGCAGACTTAGTTGCCATACCTAAGAAATGTCTTACGCCGGCAACATATTCAGCACAAAATTTGTCCTTCAATTTCACCCAATCTTTATCCGTCATGGGGATAATACGTGAATAGAAGACTAACCTTGAGTTGTATCCTTTTCTTCTACACAACAAAGTCAATTTTACTCAAATAGCCTTTATTCACCTGTACAAAACAAAAGAAGAGCAATGAGCTATACATTCAATTTATATTCATAGATAATGAAAAACTAAAACACATAAACCAATGTTAGAACATGAAAATGAAAATGTCACCATGCATCACAAAATAACAACTAAAAGACTACATGATGATTCTGATTACTTAATCTAAACCAAAAAAACTATAGTGAGTGGGCAAGCAGCTGCCATTGCATTTTTATTTATGAGACATTTTATAATCATATTAAGCCAACGAAAACAACAAAACTTCCATCATGAAGACTTTATAGAAGGAAGTGATCTAAGATTTGATTGAAAGTATAATTAAAACACAGCAAAACTTCCATCAACAGAATTCGAATTCAAGAACAAAATCTCACCAAGCCAATAAAAACCAACTCATGGAACACTCAAGATCAACGTACACATACAAGGAATCATATTAATGCAGAACAACCATGTTCACAACAAGCTCTAAACTATCTAGACAATACAAGTATACAGGTTCATCATTTCCCCACAATGAACCCTTGAGACACTATAACTTGTGCAAGTTATGGTGTAAAAAATTCAGTTCTGTCACATTGGAAGAGATAAATCTATTGTACTACTATACAATAAAGTTAAATGGTCATCTGTCATTAAGCTATTGATGAAATCATACCCTGTTATGCTCTCGACACACAATCGAGAGAAGCTGAATTGGATAAATAATAAAAAAATAGGACGATACTGGGGACTACTTACTACGCACTAACTATAGCAATCACTTATCTAGGTTCAAGAGGAAGGCAATAGTAAAGAACCAAACTAAAGGGGGAATAAATTAACAGTGTAGAATCAAAATCAAATTTCCAATCATAGTCATAAGCATAACATAGACACTCATAATAGAATTCACAGGGAATGATATAGTAGTGGAAAACAAGGGATACCTTTCTCGGAAGCAGAACAAACACGCCGGGAAAGCTGGTCGGAATCTGATATTCGCGGTAAAGTGATGGAGTATGGGAGGGAAGGGTGGGATTGATTGCAGACTTTGCTTCTGATCAAGGTTACAGAGCTGGGAGATTCTGCCATGGGATCTAAAAACGAGAAATTGGGGACTTCTCCCAATTCCGTTAAGGAAAAGTGCTATTTTTTCGAAGAGAGTTTATTTTTTCAGTGTACTAATAAGAAGGCAAAATTTTATCTAAAAATAATATAAAATTGATAGTTAAATCACCACAAACTACCTCGCAATTCGCATGTTCCTTGTCATTCTTCCCGACAAATTTGTTTTGAGGAGATACTCTTTCACAATCGATATCAACGGTGATTTATTGTGATAAAAGGATATACTTCAATTTTGTAGTGACAACATGCACTGCGGGAGTGCTCCTGGGTGGGAAGATTATCGAGGACAAGCTTGGAAAAGAATTGGTAAATGGCGGTCGTCGATGAGTTCCCTGAGGAGAAAGTACAGAAATTCAGTGCTATCCTTTGGTTTATGGAAAGAAAAGAGTAATCGCCATTTCAATGACGCAAAAATGAAGATGAGATTGTGGAAAGAGCTACCTGCTGGGTTTAGGATTACCTGGAACATAACTAATTGCGCCAGGGAGTAGGACAGCTGGGATCTTCATCATCGAATGCATCAAAAAGCCTCGACCAGGGTTTTACAAGCTAAACACGGACGCTAGTGTGATAGGGAAGGAGAGTTTTGAGATTTGGAGGGATTATTAGGGATTGGAATGGCCAGTTCCTCTTTGTAGTTGCGGGAAACGTTGAGAAATTGAAGCTCCAGCAAATCTTGGGGGAAATGGAAGAGCTGATGAGAATAGGGATTTTGCCGGTTGTGGTGGAAAGCGAGTAAGGATTTCATTGAGAAATTGGAAAGGAAGGGAAGTGACAGAAGGGAAATTGGAGTTTTGTGCCCGACAAAAAAAAAGGGGATGGTGGGATAGCGTTGGGAGTAGATGAATTTGGATGGGCTTATGCCTGACAACAAAAAATTCTAGCAGCCCAAGTAGTGACAAATATATTTTGTCATATAATATGTCTTCTTAATAATATTATGATAAACTCGTTTGTCACAATAAATATACGATGGTATGTAATATGACAAATATTATTGTGACGCCTATTTTGTCACATTATAATCATAGGTGTGTTGCGGAAAGAGATATTTTGACAAACCTTAAGTGACATAAACCTTGTTTGTCACAAGATATCCATATTGTGACAAATGGTTATGACAAATCCAACTTTTATCACAAGATACTTGGATGGTATGACAAACTAATATTTTGTCAAATTTGCTGCATTCTTGTGACAAAATCGTAAATGACAAAAAAACATTTTGTCACCACAGACATATTTTGTTGTAGTGGTAGTGTTTTCTATCATATTTTGAGTAAAATCAAAAGGTAACTCATACCCTTGGTAAGAAATGGCAATCTAGACTTTGAATTAACCTGATTTCGAGACGAGACACTATATTCTAACCCTTGACGAGTGAACTCTAGGTCTTAACTATTTAAATCATAGACCCTAAACCAAGGATTATAAAACCTCATCAGAGGTTGTGCCGAAAAAGTCGGCAGGAGGGTATTTTATGCGAAAACTGTGGTTAACCGTGATTCAGTCGTTTCACAACACTACATAGTGCCTACTGGTTTAGTCGAACCCCCGGTACGTTAAGGGTTTTCAGTCCTTGCCCTAAACACTAAGATTATGCACATAATTTTTTTGATGTATTTTGATGAAACACGACCTTCGATTATTGTTTCTAATAAAATTGATCTTAGTATATGAGCTTCATAGAATTAAGACCTAGATTTTAATCTGTAAGGGCTTAAGGTATAGTACCATGTCCCTAGCTCCGGCCACTAGACATCATTTTCATACTCAGAGTATATCATTCAAGGTCTATATATCATTTCCTTATGTCATTTTCTTACTCAAATATGATAGAACCACCCATACTTATAGTTGTGTTATCCTGCTGGAAAGTCATTTGTTCTAAATGTTAGTTGGTTGGACTGCAGTTTTATCAGGGTTGTATGTTGTTTGAAACATTTTGAACTTCATTAGTCCAATATTTTTAGTACTCCTATATTATTTAGGGATAATATCCTATTTTGTGTTGAACTTTGATGTAAATAACAATTTTGGCATGAACATTCAAATAAGATAGTTTTGTCCGAATTTGAAAGAAATTAACAAATTTGACCCGAAATTTGGGTCGGTTATTAATATTGAGGGTCAAACATTTCTTTTTTTATGACTCAACATACAATGTTAAGGTGACTGTGGTGTGACTTTCACGTCATATGTATAATATGCTATTTTGCCCTACACTTTCAAATAAGACAGTTTTGTACGAATTTTCAAAGAAATGAATAACTTTGACCCAAAATTTAGGTTGCCGTTAATATTGATGAGAGGGGTACAAAGAGAGATAGTTTCGTGCTTTGGGATTTTTGGGGGCCTGAATCAATTTCTTTTTCCTTTTAATATGATTTATGCAAGTAAATATGAAAATATTAGGATATACTAAGGGTCCTATTTTGTGGTCTTTTTTTCTTCTGAAAAATTCACTTTTTTAGACTTTATAAATAAATGACTTGGAAGCCACATCGCAACCGAAACCTCTCTATCACAACTGTCAATATTAAAGGTCAACCCAAATTTCGGACCAAATTTGTTCATTTCTTTCAAAGTGCAAACAAACCTATCTTATTTGAAAATTCGAGCCAAAATTGTCTTTTACATCAAGTTCATGCCAAAATAAGGTATCATCCCTATGACATGGAAGCCACATCGCAATCGCAACCACCTGAGCATTGTATGTTGAATGGATGAAGAAATTTTTAACTTTTAATATTAACGAACAAAATAAATTTCAGTCCAAATTTGTCCATTTCTTTCAAAATTTTGAAAACTGTCTTATTTGCAAGTTCATGTCAAGTTTGGCTTTTACGACAAACTTCAAGGCCAAAATAAGGTATATCCCTATTATTTATGGTCAACTTACCAATCAAAGTAGTCAGTGAAAGTATCAGCAACACTGACAAAGACAAACATATGTAATTCAAAATTAGTTGCACTCAGCCTTAAGTTTGAAGCTCTCTTGAGAACCCCGACTATTTTCTAGGCATCTTCGGGGACTACGACTAGCATGCTTCCAAACCAGCTATTCCTTATTCTACTTTCTATGAAGAGGAATAATATGGGTGTATCTGTTAGACATTAATTAGGGTTACAAATGATCTCATTCCTAAAATCTGTTAGAGACCAATCTTTTTCTTTCCTTCTGAGGGTTCATTATGTATGTTTTAGGAAAAACAACTCTAATCTTGAACTATTTGCCATTTTTAAGTACTGAAAACCTATTATTTTGTATGTTTTTCTTTTCTTCTTTGAACAATTATATTTTTTTTTTCAGTGATATGTCGTATCTTCCTATTATATTGTAAGCATGTTATATGAACATATTTTTTGTCTAGACTTTCCCGGCCAAGGGGCCGGGCCCGGTGCTAGTGTTGATTGAACAACAACAGAGAACACCAGAAAGGAGCTGCTGCTGCTGCTTCTGTTTCTTGATCACCACCCTCTTCTAGGGGTGTCCAAATGGTTACCATGGTTATAACCAAACCAAATAAGGCTAAATTCCATTAACCATGGAATACAATATCATAACCAAACCGTCCAAACTAATAAACAACCAAATTAACCAAACTAAAGTTTAATCGGTTTGGTTAATTGGTTAACCAGATTAACCAATATAAAATCACATTATCATTGATGATGAAAATTTTCCGGTTAATGCAACAATTCGCAATTTATATTTATATAATGAATAAAACATAACATTCAACACGTAGTTATAGTTGACCCTTAACAAAAATACATGCAACTAAGACAATTATCTTACGATTAGTATAGAAGTATTCACCTAACAAAAATTTATGACAATGGTATGTGTTAATATATTGTTGTGTTTGTGTAAATTGACTTAGTCTCTTAGCAATTATCATAGGCTGGAAATGACCTTCCTTTCAAGTTTTCATCCATCATAATGTATGAAATTTATCTAAATTAGGCGTCTATATGTTGTGGTCTACACTTTACATATACAAATATACACTATATGAGCAATATTGAGCTTTATATTTTATATGACTCTAAAAGGGATGAACGTTAACTCTTGAGTGGTTATGCAAAGTATTAAGTATGTGTATATAATATATGTTAGATATATGACTAATTAATTAACTGGTTAATTTGGTTTGACTGGTTAGGAGTGTCTGAAACCAAACCAAACCACCTAAACCAAACAAGCTAAAAACTTTAACCAAACCATACCAATTATCCAAATTAACCAAACCAAATTATCCAAATAGTACCGGTTAAAACGGTTACCACGGTAACCAAACCGTTTGAACACCCCTACCCTCTTCTAGGCTTCTACGATTACGTTCCTCTGTTTCCCTTACAATTCAGCTTTGCTTGCTGAATTACTCGGACGGAAAAGGACGGCGTTTGTCCAGTAAGGTGGCGGTGGCTCTTGTCGACTGTCCATTAAGGTGGGTGGTCTGTTGTCCAGTGTTAGGGATGTCGATATTGATTCCAAGCTGCAATTAGGGGGTCGTTTGCTTGTGGGATTTGGGTGATGGATTTGGAACCCAAATCCCAAGCATCATGGAGTTGGCACAAATCCTTTGTTTGTTGAGGGACACAAATCCGTGGGGTCCACGGATTTGGACCACTTTTTTAGATCCAAATCCGTGGACCCCACGGATTTGTAAATCCCACATTTCATTTGGGATTTGACAATAGAAAGAAATAATGTGAGACAAATCCATCACAAATCCATGATAAAAAATCAACTAAACAAACAATGTACTCTTCCAAATCCATGATACAACAAATCCATCATAAATCCTAAGGTTTTTAAAACTCAAAACCTTCATTTTCAAATCCAACAAGCAAACGAGCCCTAGATCTTTTCGGCTGACTTGGGTATTTATTGGGTTTTCTTCTTTATTTTGTATTTTTGTTAATAATGGAGGAGATCTCTCAGAAAGCCCATCCCCTTTTCCTGACACCTCAACCAAGCATCCGAAATCAATAAAACAGAAAGGTGTACCCACTGCTGACCGCTCTCCCATTTCTCTGCTTCTCTCTTGTCGCTCAGATATTTCTTCGCTTGCCTCCGATGAATTGCGTCAACTATCTTCCCAGGTATATGCCAAAGTTCTCTTCTTTATGAATCCGTGCGGCGCAATTCGTTTATTGAATGGGAATGAGCTGAAATGTCTCGCTATCTCTGATTGGTTTCTTCTTTGGAGAACTGCAGATCCTCTCCTCTGCCCCAGTGGAGCTCCCATTGCTGGCAGAGGAAGCCTTCAATGCCGTCCTTCTCAAATCTCGTGAGTTCGCTCCCCCTTACTTTCCTTCTGCTTTCATTTCCTTGCATCATTTCGTTTTTTATATGCCAGTGGCATTACCTATGTGAGATCTCTCTAACGTTGAGTGCTTTAACCACAGGACATGACGTTATCTCATCGGCCACACCGTGGATTTTCCTTGAAGGTAGTTAGTCCTCTGGAAGTTTTCACCGTGGTTTTCTGGAATTCATAGTTTCTTTTCTCTGAGTTCTGCTGGACATGGAATCCGTTAGGAAGGCAATTGGGTTTGAAACGGTGGATGAGATCTGATATTGGGTGTGTTTATTTTTTTCGCATTGGCACAACTTGCTGGTTATAAGGAATTAGGTAGTCATGGTGACTAGAATTTAGAATGTGAACAGACTACCTATATTTTGTTTCTGGGTCATCTGAAATATGCAGTAACTGTTGGCTGTCCTGGAACTGTTATGTCGAAAAGGTGTCGTCAGGATGTTTGATGGATGCAACTTTTGTGTAGGCAATATCTGGATCAACACCTAGTGCTGAGAAAAGTGATGCAGATGTGAAGGGTAAAGAAGGAAAATCTGATGTTTACAGTCACACCATGACAGAAGCGATGGGTGCTGGTCAGTTGAATGTACCTTGCAGCTGTTTGAACACGAGAAATTCATAATGTCTTGCTTTTTTCATCGGTCATATGGAGCAAGTACCCATGACTGATTGTCTTGTCATGCTCATTGCTTGCGGATGCTAATGTTCTGCGAATTCAGTTTTAACTTACAGGCATGAGCTAGGAATGAATTACAATTTCATCCGGCCAGACTTGATCTGTGGATCATGCCTTCAGGTTTTTCCTTATTTCAGATTGCTATGTTTTTCTATTTGTTTTGTCTTTTATGTTACAGATTTTAAGTCCTCTTAAATGGTGCTGATACTTGTTAGTTTGAATACAAATTGTTAGACACCTGCAGATGTTGATAAGCTTCGGGAAATTGGAGTTAAAACGATATTTTGCTTGCAACAGGATCCAGACTTGCAGTATCCTAAGTAACATTGATTTCAATTCCAGTTCAGGAAATCAGAAATGAGAAATTTAAAAACTTCTCGTGGTTTAGTGGCATGTTTTGCTGATGAGTTCACAACCAAGCAGAATACACAATGATGTTGAGTATGGGTATATTATGCTTCCTTTACTAGCATTTCCAGATACTTTGGGGTAGATATTGGTGCCATTCAGCAGTATGCTAAGTCATTTGAAGATATACAACATTTGCGTGCAGAGATAAGGTGCTCTTATTCAGAAACATGTTTCTCCTTTTATGGTGATATATGCTGCTCTAATAACAACTGCCCAAAAATTTGTTTTTGAGCTGTTGGCAATATTTGAAGCCTTCATTCTCTGCATGTTTTCTGATTGAGTTTATTGAAAAAAATCACTTTTGATGAATAGTATTACTTTAGAAAGCAACTAACAATAGTGAAACAGGGACTTCGATGCATTTGACTTGAGGATACGGCTTCCTGCGGTAATCAGCACATTGTACAAGGCTATAAACCAGAATGGTGGTGTGACCTATGTTCACTGCACTGCTGGGATGGGAAGAGCTCCTGGTGTGGTGGTATGCATGCCAGTTTTGTTTATGAATGAATTTAAAAGATGGTGGATCTGATTTTGAGATGCTTCTCCAGATTATGCAAACTTTGTTGTTACAGTTTCGAAGTTCACTGTTACATCATGGATTGCATGTTATCACTTGGAGTTTTTCAATGAAATCATTGTGTTTTGTTGACTTACCATTCTCTAGCTAATAACCTAACATGGTTGCAGATTGCGTACATGTTTTGGGTTCAAGGCTACAAACTTAAGGAAGCTCATGATCTACTTCTCGTAAGTTGTAACATTTTTACTTTAGTATCCATGTGAAACCATGACAGTGGCAGTTCTTTTAGTTCTATATCATTTGTAGCAAGTGCACTATTGTATTAAATTTGCTGCTATTCTTTGGAAAAGTTCTTTAGAACTAGGAAGGACAAGCCATCTTTGACCTCAAAATGTAAAGCATTGAATGTTCTCACTACATGACCCTAAGCTTAATTATCATATGAAATTCATTGTTTGCTTTCAGTCAATGAGTCATGTTAGAAGATGAGAATTGTTGTTCAATAATAGAGCAGTATTGAATGTGTGAATTTGTTGAGGGAGAGTGAAATAGTTGATATTGTTGTTAGATAATCTGATGCTAAGTGTATTCTCCTTGCATACTTCAAGTTGTTTATCTTTTTGTAGAGCAAACGGTCTTGCTTCCCGAAGTTGGAGGCTATCAAGAGTGCCACCGCTGACATAGTAAGTCTTTCCTCTTAATTATGTTCTCATGCTAGAAACAAATGCTTGGAAACTTAGCTATATCGATCTTTTGTACGTCTCTATTTATTTTAGTACTTTCACTGCGAGGCTTATGATTTAATGTATTAGGTCTCATGATCTGCTCAAACTCATAAAAGTGCAGCCATACTGATCCATGAAAACTATCGTTCCCAATCTTACTTTATTGCTTTGGATGTCTTTATGAAAGTTAAATAACAAGCAAGTGGTTTCTTTTGTAGATTTTTCTTTGCGAATCTCACAATCCGTCAATAACTTGTTGCAAGTTTAGTTATTGAGTTTTTTTGTGGTGAAAGCTTGCAGGATTTAGGAAGAAGCCTGTGACTTTATCATGGAAAGATGACAATTTGTCTTCTGTGGAAATTTCTGGACTTGATATTGGTTGGGGTCAGGTATATTGTCTGGAGTTCTTGGGAATGAAAGATCTCGTTTCTCTCAAATAGCTTGTTTGCATTTGCCTATGGATATATGTGGTTAGAGAAATTACCGTGTGTACATTTGACCTATTACTTAGCTAATACGGCTTATATTGACTTGAAATGCCTTAGGAATAAGATGTCCCTCGAAATCTTGCATATCATGAAGAATGAGTTATTATGATGACCTTACAAAATTCAAATACTAGTTGCATGCACTATCCTAGCTGTGAGACTTGTTGCTTTAGCTTTGATCAGAATTCACAACAACCAACTGTAACAATTCACCCCTTCCCAGGAAAGTCTGAAAAAGAAAAAGAAATAAGACTCCCCTAAACTCTTGACTGGAGTAACTGAAAAGTGAAAACCATATTTAAGCTGATTTTATATTTCCAGCTCATCAGTGCGGTGAGTCCTGCTTACCGTTTTTTGTACAAGGATGAAATGGACCATCATGGGTAGTGGATAGGAATTTACTTTTCAAAGTACCAGTTTAGGCTTTGTATACCTGATGGATGAATAAGCTGAAGTGTCTTCTACCTCGTCCTGAAGGTTTCCTTCATTTTATTTCCAGAGAATTCCTTTGACACTTGATGCTGAGCAAGGCAAGTGGATTCTTGAAAGGGAAATGTTGGTAGGTATTCTTGATTGAGATCTCTGAACTCTCTTGTCGTTATTAAGGAAGCAAATTGTTTTCCCGCTTAACATTATTAACTCATTGTGCTATGAGATCCCAGATCAACAAATAATTGTTTCCGAGAGAATATAGCAGGGACTTATATCTGGCTGTCAAATTTGATACTTTAACAGAGTTCTTGTTAATGAGCGCTATATAAGTGCATAAATGTTCTGCTTGTCTATTTTTATTCATCAACAGGAGGGACGGTATGAGTACAAGTACATCGTCAATGGTGAATGGACAATCAACAAAAATGAACTAGTTACTTCTGCCAACAAAGATGGCCATGTGAACAACTATGTCGAGGTACACTCTTCCGAAGCTCTTCTCCTTCCAATTTAAGTCGGTTTCGTTGAAATGGGACTTCCACATCCACAGGGACAATCTGTTCCTTCTTGGACATCTCAGATCATCTTAAATGAGGTGCTTCATTATTCGAAATGCACCAACCAACAACCTGGTAGATATATGCCCAGTAGGTGCAAATCTACGAAAACATCGGAATTCCTTGGTTTCAGCTATGATGATACTTTCTTACATGCATAGGTGATCGATGATACGGATGCTGATAGAGCTGAACTACGAAAGAGGGTGATGAGTGACGATCCCTACCTGACGAGGGCAGAGCGGTCTAAAATAAGGCAGTTTCTGGAATCACAACCTGAGGAAGGAGAGAACTGAGCAAACAACTACCTTTTGTTCATGTAAGGATAGAAATATACTCTTAATACCCAATGAAACTCCCTGGAGCTATTGTTTTAAGATAGGTAAGCAGTAATAAATCTGTTCTTTAATACAAGCCCCCACAAACAGACGGCTCAGCTCCAGTAAATAAAAGAACTGGTGGAAGCTTCCACAATTGTCCTGTCCAGCTGCTACTAAATCAACATAAATAAAAACATGCTCCAACAGATTTCTCTCTTTGAAGAAGGCAGAGGTTGTACTCTGTACCAATGAACTGAAGCTTTTGATGTCTTTTAATTTTGTAGCTTATAGTCTAACTAAGCTGTTTTCTGCAATTGAAGGAAGTGTACTAATGGTAAAGATTTATGTGTCTACTTTTGGTTTCAGTTTTGATACAGAATGCATACTTGTATCTTTTGTCTCTGAATCAGTAGTCTAAACTGTGATCTGCTTTATGGTTGGAGGGTCATGAAACATATGTGGGAATGAGTTGCCTTTCAGTAGCCAAAGGCAATTCTCTGCCTACCTCTTTATCCAAAACTCTCCAATGGTAAAAAAGCCAACAAATTCATGGTGTCAACTCTGTGGACGCAGCCATAATGGTATGGCCTGAAATTCCTGCAACTGCCATACTACAACTTGCAAAATGCAAACCAATCCAGCAACCTTCAGCAAAAATGTTTCTCTCAAAACTTTTAATGAGAACCAAATTTACATTGGTGGGTGAAATCTTTATTATACAGCTTGGAAGTGAACTGGGTTGTTAAACTTTACCTCAAAACATATTAAAACGTGTCTTTGACTTTGCTTCTCTATTATGTTTCTTCTTTATTCAATGACTTAAGCTTTGTTGACCACGTAACTCCAAGTTTCAACAACCCAGAGTGTTCCAAAACGGGATAGAGATGCTCCTAATTGAATGTAAACATATATGGATAATGCATAGTTTAATGCAAAGTCATGGTCAATCTCTATAGCAATTAGCAACTTGGTGTATACTATAATGGCTGAGATGTGGGAAAAAGCTGGCATCTTTGAAAGAAACCATTATAAATTGACATCTTGAAATACCCATCTTCACACACTGACCAAATTAACCACCAAAACCATGGCTCCTTCTGCTAACCACCTTCTCATTTCCTGCATTCTCTTCTGCTTATTCATTGCAGTATCTGAAGCCCAGCCCTCATTCCGCCCAAAAGCACTGATCCTCCCAGTTACCAAAGACCCATCAACCCTCCAATACCTCACCCAAATCAACCAAAGAACCCCTCTCGTCCCGGTGAAGCTCACCCTCGACCTCCGAGCCGCTCGCGAGTAGCTCTACTCATTTGCAACCATATATGCAGGTAGGTCCAGAGCACTGACCCTTCCTGGTTCATCTTATGTGGGATTGTGCTAGTGTAGTAACAATTTTTTGTTAGCATGCTGCTAACACTAGCTTCAACCAATATGAACATTTTGTTTGGATGATTTTTTCATTTATATGAGTTGGCCACAATTAATAAAGAGAAAGAGAATGAGGGGCACACTAGTAATTTAAAAAAATTGGGGGAAGATGGAGTCACGTGTGCAATTAAATGGGAGAAGGGAAAATCCTCCCCACAAACCACATAACCCTCCCCACAAAACACATAACCCTCTCCACAAACCACAAAATACAGGTCACAAGTTTCTTAAAGTGGCCAAAAAGTTCCTTTAACAGTGGACCTATTTGTAAAATTCTAAAAGTTCAGATACCAAAGTGTAAGAAAAAAAATGTAGGTACTAAAATATAATTTTCCATAATTTTTTTAGGAGTTATATGTAAAAAATTAGGCTCTATATATCAAGATGTATTAAGTTTGAGCACCAAAACTATAATTTATAGGGGTATTCAAATGGTTATCATAGTAATTACCAAATCAAATAAGCCGAAACACTATTAACCATGAAATACAACAACCAAATTAAATTTTAATCAGTTTGGTTAATTGGTTAACCAAATTAACCAATATAACATCACATTTATGATTAAGTGAGAAAATTTTCTGGTTAATTCATCAATTCACAATTTATACGATAAATAAAACATAACAATCAACATATAATTATAGTTAACCCTTAACATAAATATATGCAACTAATACAATTATGTTACAGGCAATGTTTTCACCAACAACAATCAGAATGTTTATGCGACTTAGCTTCTCTATTATATTTCTTCTTTATTCAATGATTTGGCTTCGTTGACCACATAGCTCCAATTTTCAATAACCCAGAGTGTACCAAAATATGGGATAGAGTCGTAGAGATGCTCCCAATTGAATGAAAAAGCATATATTGTTGAGACTTGAGATGTGGGGAAAAGCTGGCATCTTTGAAAGAAACCATCGTAAATAGACATCCTGAAACCCCAAATTAACAACCAAAACTATGGCTCCTCCTGCTAACAACCTTCTCATTTCCTGCATTCTCTTCTGCTGCTTAATTGCAGTATCTGAAGCTGAAGCCCAGCCCTCATTCCGCCCAAAAGCACTGATCCTCCCAGTTACCAAAGACCCATCAACCCTCCAATACCTCACCCAAATCAATCAACGAACCCCTCTCGTCCCAGTGAAGCTAGCCCTCGACCTCGGTGGCCAGTACCTCTGGGTCGACTGCGAACAAGGCTACGTCTCATCGTCTTATAAACCAGCCCCTTGCGGATCGGCTCAATGCTCCCTCGCCAACTCCAAAAGCTGCACCATAGCGTGCTTACCATCCCCCAGACCAGGCTGCAACAACAACACATGTGGCCTGATGCCCGAAAACACGGTGGTGACTCGAACCAGTCCCTCGGGCCAATTTGGTCAGGACGTCGTCTCGATCCAATCAACCGATGGGTCCAACCCAGGCAAAATCGTCAAAGTTCCAAACTTTCTCTTCACTTGTGGCGCCACATTCTTGTTAGATGGACTTGCAAAGGGTGTCAAAGGCATGGCTGGTCTAGGAAGGAACAAAATCTCCATGCCTTCTCGATTCTCTGCAGCCTTCAGCTTCCACAGAAAATTTGCAGTTTGCTTGACTGCCGGTAAAGGAGCTGTCTTCTTTGGAGACGGGCCGTATGTAATGCTACCAAACATTGACATCTCCAAGTCATTGATTTTCACCCCGTTGATTCTCAACAAGATCAGTACAGCCTCTGAAGGCGAGCCATCTTCCGACTACTTCATTGGAGTAAACTCAATCAAAATCAACAACAAAATTGTCCCCCTCAACACAACTCTGCTCAAAATCAACGAAGATGGTTTTGGTGGGACGAAGATTAGCACTGTTCAGCCACACACCGTCCTCGATACTTCGATTCACAAAGCTGTGATTGCCACTTTTGCCAAGGAGCTAAGTGGAGTGCCTAGAGTGGCAGGGGTTAGACCGTTTGAGCTGTGTTACAACTCGACTGCGATTGGGAGCACACGAGTTGGGCCGGCTGTGCCACAGATCGATCTGGTGTTGCAGAGCAGTAACGTGCACTGGAGAATTTTCGGTGCGAATTCTATGGTTCAAGTGAAGAATGATGTGATCTGCCTAGGGTTTGTAGATGGTGGGGTGAATCCCAGGACTTCCATTGTGATTGGTGGGCATCAGTTGGAGGATAATCTGCTGCAGTTTGATCTTGCGGATTCCAGACTTGGGTTCAGCTCTTCTTTGTTGTTCAGGCAGACTACTTGTGCCAATTTTAACTTCACTTCCACTGCTTGAACCAAAATGGGTGGTTGTGTATTGTGCAATTGAACCCAGAAAGGTGCCAACTTTGGTGCTTTACTTGCAGTTACAGCTTTACCTGTTCTAAATGTATCTGTTTCTTTGTTCTTGATTTGTGATTTAAATACTAGAGGGATCATGTGGCATATGCGGAGATCCGATTGATAGAGATGTGGTGGCATGAACTGGATTGGTGAAATAAAAGGTTGTTAAATATTTTTTTCAAGGACTTGTGGTCAACATCTTTGGAAGGATTTTCATATTTAAAAGAAGGGAAAGTGACCTCCTATATTTGGTCTAATCCTTTGTGCCGTGGGATTTGGATTAAACTAATGCCACTTCCTTTAAAATATCCAGGCTTGAAGATAAAGATGTGAATTGTGATCATCTTCCAAATGCTTTTTTTTTTTTTACAACCTCAAATTCTTTCCCACATGCTTTCTCTTTCTGTTCCTCAATTTTGCTTTTATTAGTTTACTGGTTAAAATGTCATTCAAAATGTCATTCCAAGGTGATGAAATTTTTTTTGACATTTTATAGGAACAAAGATTGTTATGTAGAATGGAGTACAAGTTAGATCGAGGAGTCGATTCCATTTGACTATTTGAGTAATAAGATCATATATTTCAAAAAGTGAGCAAGAAGTTTGATCCATATATTTTTCATCGTTATTTTAATTTATCTTTCTTTTGATTGTAATATGTTAATTGCTGGAGGGCATATTCAATATCGCATCGTAACTCGACCACAATTTGACATAAAAGAGATTGTGGGAAATATAGTATAAAGATATGTTTGACAATGCGACAATAAATATATACTAATTTGATAAATCAACATATTTTCAGTTTATTCATTTTCATTAGATAATTTTCACTTTAAAATAACAAATCAATGTCTAGTGACCAAATCCCATTATAAATCTATGATCTAGTTAAATGTCACATAGCTTAGAGGTGTACCTCCATGGTCGCTCGTTCTAGGAAGTGGGAGATCCCATTTTCAATCCCCATTTTCAAGTTCGTTGTGGTGTTACTGGAGACAATGTTTGACTGCTAGCGACAAAACCCCGTTGGCACGTGACAAGTACAAGTGGTCTCCAAATTTGATCTCTCTCCGCCATCACAAAATGTGGTGTGTGCTTTAGATATTTTTACATCATAAAAAAAAATCTATGATGTGTGTATCTATGTTACAACTTACAAGCCCATTTTAATTCTTTTTTTTTTACAACAAGCCCATTTTAATTCCCCTCCAGCGGAAGCCCAAATCTCAATAGGCCCAAACCAGAAAAATAATTTATATTTACTTCTACGCGGAAACTTGAACCTGCAGGTGGGTCCAGAGCACTGACCCTTCCTGGTCCATCTGACGTGGGCCGTTGCCCTTATCCAAACACAAGATAAACATGGCCTGCCTGACTCAGCAATATATGTTCCCCCAATGTTTGTTTATCTTTGCCAGCGTCGAAACCCCGCATCCCACTTTCCCCACCAATTCCCCGATATTCAGCTTATCACCCACCAAACCTCAGTTATCAAACTCTCCCGCCGCCGTCCATGGCTTCTCTTCTCCGATTCCTCCTCTTCCTTTCCATCTCCCTCCATCTCTCTCTTCCGATCTCATCCTTCACCCCCTTACAAGACCCAATCGTTCTTCCCGTCTCCAGAGATTCCGCCACTCTCCAGTACACCACCGTCATCCGCAGCGCCGATTCGCTCCAGCCCATCAAGCTCGCCGTCGATCTCGGTGGCCCGGCACTCTGGCTCGACTGCGACCACCACTCTTCGTCACTTCTCCGGCGGAATTTTGTTCCGAGCCGCTCGATCCACTGCTCGGCGGCGAGCTCCGACGGCCTTCTTCGCCGGACCACGCCCGGAGCTTGCGTTGTTGGAGCCCAGAACGGCGTCGTCGGGTCGAGAGCCGCGGGTCAGCTCGCTGAAGGTGCTTTCGCCGTCGGATCTACTGACGGGTCGGGGTCAACGGCGAGGGTTGACCGGTTCCTGTTCTCTTGCGGGTCGGGTTTTCTGCTGAGCGGCCTGGCGAGCGGCGCTGTGGGGGTGATGGGACTAGGAAGGACGAGAATCTCCCCGCCGGCGCAGTTCGCCTCGGCCTTCGGATTCCGCCGGAGATTTGCCGTCTGTCTGTCTTCCAACGGATTCCTGGCGTTCGGCGACTCGCCGACCGAGTCCATCCTCGGGCCGGAAATTTCGAGGTCTCTGTTCTACACTCCCCTCGTAGTCTCCTCCGGTAGAAATTCTCCAGCGGGACACGAATACTTCATCAATTTGAAGTCAATTAGAGTCAACGGCGAGAGGGTTTCTCTGGGAAAGGACAGAATTGGGTTAGCGAAACTGAGCACAACCGTGCCGTACGCTCTAATGGAGACCTCCGTATACAGAGCATTCACAGAAGCTTACCTGAAGGCTGCGGCGGCGAACAACATGAGCATAGCTAAACCCATCTCGCCATTTTCTTACTGCTTCAGATCTACAAATCAATCCGTCCCAGTAATCGATCTAGCGCTGCAGAGTGAGATGGTGAAGTGGAGGATACAGGGGAGGAATTCAATGGTTACGGTGAAAGGGAACGGCGAAGAAGAAGGACAGGTAGTATGCTTGGGATTCCTCGACGGCGGCTCAAATTTGGAAGCTGCGGTTGTTATCGGTGGGCTTCAGCTGGAAGATAGGGCTCTTGAATTTGATTTGGATTCGTCTAGGCTAGGGTTTAGCTCGTCTCTGTCTATGGAGAAACAGAATACTCCCTGTTCCAGTTTTGTTCCTCGACTCACTTCTAGCTGACTCATCTTGATGTTTCCTTTTGTCTATGTTTTGACTGTAACAATCTTGTTATATTATACATTACCCTGATCTTATCTCTTCATATTAAAGAAACAAAAGTTACCTAAAATCTTTTGCCAATGTTTTTGAAGCAGAGCCCCTTGGTTGGAACAGGGGATGGCTTCCTCCAAATCCCCTGTTTTTAGCCTTCCAAACCTCGTCCTTGCAGCTTTTTTGTGTGTATCCTCTTTCTGCAGAAACTCCATTGTATTAGACTCTTCTTATGCGACAAGCGCAAGAATTCTTCCACTGATTCATCGGTACTTCGGTTTGCAGCCTTAAATCTTTCCACCCAAACTCAATATAAATGCTCTACTACACTCAATTATCTTCTCCAAATAACCCAGCTCTTCTTTACACAGGAAAAAATGACATTCCTCCACAAGTCACTTCTATATTTCTGCCTGCTCCACTTATTAGCTCTCCCTACTCAGGCGCTCAAACCACCATTCAGACCCAAAGCACTAGTCCTCCCAATAACCAAAGACTCTTCAACTCTCCAATACACAACCCAAATCAACCAACGAACCCCGCTCGTTCCACTAAAACTAACCGTCGACCTCGGCGGCCGCCACCTCTGGGTCGATTGCCAATCCCCTCGCTACATCTCCTCGTCGTTCAAACCGGCTCGATGCAACTCGGCTCAGTGCAGGCTCGCCGATTCAGCCGGGTGGAGTTGCGAACCCGAGTGCCACCCCAACACTCCCACCCGACCCGGATGCAACAAGAACACTTGCCGCGTTTACCCTGAAAACACTGTCAGCTTCATCCCCGATTCGGGCCAGGTCGGCCAGGATGTCCTCTCGCTCCGGTCGACAGACGGTTCAACCGTCGGCCAAACTGTTGCTTACCCTGATTTCATCTTCGCTTGTGCTCCAACTCTGCTCCTGAATGGCTTGGCAAAGGACGTGAAAGGAATGGCTGGACTTGGAAGGAACAGAGTTTCGCTTCCTTCCCAATTCTCCAACGTGGCCAAAAATTTTGCCCTTTGCTTAAGCTCCTCGCCCAACAACAATGGCGTCCTGATCTTTGGAGATGTGAGTTATAAATTTTTCCCAAACATTTACTCCTCGGATTCCTTCACTTTCACTCCATTGATTCTCAACCCTGTTAGCACGTCGAGCATACATAGGGACGGCGAGCCATCGGCCGATTACTTCATCGGTGTCAAATCGATCAAGATCGATGACAAAGCAATTCCACTGAACAAAACTCTGTTATCAATCAACAAACAAGGCTATGGAGGGACCAAAATTAGCACAACTTACTTCCCATACACAGCTATGCACACTTCAATCTACGATTCCTTGATCAAGGAGTTCACGAAACGGATGCAATCACAGGGCGTGAAAAGGGTCGAATCTGTGGCACCGTTTGAGGCATGCTTCAATTCTACCGGCATTTTCGGCACCCGGGTCGGGCCGAGTGTGCCTGTGATCAGCCTTGCTTTGAAGGACAGTAAGGTTGATTGGAACATGTTTGGATCGAACTCCATGGTTGAAGTGAAGAAGGGTGTGATGTGCCTTGGGTTTGTGGATGGAGGGTGGAATCCGGTGACTTCTATCGTCCTTGGAGGGTACCAGTTGGAGAATGTTCTGTTGCAGTTTGATGTTGCTAGGAAGAGGTTCGGCTTCAGTCCTACACTTTTGGGTCAGCGCACTAGTTGTGCCCACTTCAACTTTACCACCAATGCTTAGTAACTAAAGCTTTTCATGTGTTCTCGTCGTCTTCACGCCATGGTTTGATAGTTTGATAATAACATCCACCTTATCTGAAGCTCAATCAATAAAGTGTAATGAAAAATAGAATTGCATATTTCAATGGGCATGGTGAATCTTTTTCTATCAATTTAGAGGATTGTATAATGTTTTCTGAAGTTCTGCAGGCAGAGATGCTGGTTTGGAGCAGGGGATGGCATTCCCGGAAATCCCTTGTTTTGTGCCTTGATTAGTCTGTTCTCTTCTTTTTCATCTGAATCGCTTTGTACCACCTGCCACTTTATCCATGTTATAAACGCGCTGCTACGGATCGGGAAATCGCTGGAATCGACAAAGCAAGAATACGAAAGCGAGAATCGAAAAAACACAGACACACGATTTACGTGGTTCACTAACACGATGTGTGTTAGCTACGTCCACGGGCGAGAGAGAGTCAGTTTCACTATATCGAGGAGATTACAGATTACAAAGGAGTATGAGAAGTATTTATAGTACTTCTCCATGTGGGTCTAAACCTAATCTAATCTAGCAAAGGAAACGGTTACAGACCAGGCCCAGAACCCGAACCCAAATAACATTGAGCCCATACACCGTGGGCCGGGGGCGTTGCCCCCGCCCCAGACCCCCGATTACCAGTCGCAGCAGCTAATAGTCCGATTCAAGTCATATCAACAATCCAAAACATTGGATGGGCAAATTCATAACAAAATCCAATAGATTCATGGTCTCAACTCTGTGGACACTGCCATGCTACAACTTGCACACCAATCGAGTAACCCTTTTGCAGGAATGATTCTCTCTGACACTTCTGCCATGAAACAAGAGAAACCCACTCCCCTCACTCCCTATGGTTTCAAGCTGGTCGACTACATGATCCCAAGTTTCAATAACCCAAAGTGACAGTATATAATACATGCTCCGAATTGGATAAAAATGTATTATTACCTATTTTTACTACCAACTTGGGCTATCTTAATGGTTGAGATGTGTGCCTACAAGCTGGAATCTCTGTGGATAACCCAATATAAATAGACGTATACAAAGAAACCCATCTCCCCATATCGCACAAAAAAAAAAAAACACCAAATCAACCATGGCTCTCCATTTCCCTTATACTCTGTTTCTCATTTCCTGTCTTCTCAGCTTTTGCATCACATTATCTCAAGCTCAGCAGCCGTCATTCCGCCCAAAAGCCCTAGTTCTCCCGGTTTCGAAAGACCCATCATCACTCCAATACCTCACCCACATCAACCAAAGAACCCCACAAATCCCAGTCAAGCTAACCCTCGACCTCGGTGGCCGATTCCTCTGGATCGACTGCGAACAGAACTACGCCTCATCGTCCTACACCCCATCTCGTTGCGAATCATCCCAATGCAACCGCGCAAACTCCAAAATCTGCACCACCGAATGCTTCCGATCGTCACCGAAGCCAGGCTGCTACAACAACACCTGCGGCTTGCTGCTCGAGAACACCTTCACCCAAACCGGTACCTCGGGGGATCTCGGTCACGACCTCGTCTCGATCCAATCAACCGACGGCTCGAAACCGGGCAGAATAGTCAAAGTTCCCAATTTGCTCTTCACTTGTGGCGCCACGTTCTTGCTGGATGGACTTGCGAAGGGTGTTAAAGGCATGGCTGGACTTGGCAGGACCATACTCTCCCTCCCTTCTCAATTCTCTGCTGCCTTCAACTTCCCGAGAAAGTTTGCAATCTGCTTGAGTGACTCGGGGAAAGGAGTTGTCTTCTTTGGAGATGGACCTTATGTGATGCTACCAAACGTCGAAATCTCAAAATCCTTGATCTACACTCCATTGATTATCAACAAGGTCAGTACAGCTTCTGCTGCCTTTGCAGGGGAACCTTCCTCTGACTACTTCATTGGAGTCAACTCAATCAAAATCAACAACAAAGTTGTCCCACTGAACACAACTTTGCTCAAAATCAACAAAGAGGGTTTGGGCGGGACGAAGATTAGCACTGTTCAGCCATACACCGTCCTCGAAACTTCGATCCACAAAGCTGTGGTTACCACTTTTGCTAAGGAGCTAAGTGGAGTTCCTAGAGTGGCAGGGGTTGGGCCGTTTGAGCTGTGTTACAACTCGGTGGGGATAGGGAGCACCAGAGTTGGACCTGCTGTGCCGCAGATCGACCTGGTGTTGCAGAGCAGCAATGTGTACTGGAGAATTTTCGGTGCGAACTCGATGGTTCAGGTGAAGAGTGGTGTTCTCTGCCTAGGGTTTGTGGATGGTGGGGTGAATCCCAGGACTGCCATTGTCATTGGTGGGCATCAGGTGGAGGATAATCTGCTGCAGTTTGATCTTGCGGCTTCTAGACTTGGGTTCAGCTCTTCTTTGTTGTCTAGGCAGACTACCTGTTCCAATTTTAACTTCACTTCCACTGCTTGAAGACGAGGGAATTGGTGCTGGGTTAAATTATGGCCGGCCATATGTTGTTTTAACCTTTTTAAGTGTTTGCTGAGTGGTTTACTAAATTACGGTGTAATTTGTTTTATCAGCTGAAGTTTGGAACCTAAGTTGAGTAATTAGAGCTTGATGGCTGACTGGCTGTAACTGCAAGTCCGTACTTCATCAATTGAGATGTTTTGTCAGATTGCCTTTTAAATCTGTGTAATGCATTAAAGGCGATGTTGCATGGGGAAAAGACTCCAACTTGGGGTTCGGTTTGTTTTTAGTAATGATCGTGATGGGGATATTCGTTGATGTCGAACTGTTATTGCATTCGTTTTCGTGATTGTTGATTTGTGCTCCGAAGTTTTCTAGTATGATATACATATGAAGCCATGGAGCATATGTTGATATTCGATTCATTGTGCTTCCGTCAACGCCATTTCAATCCATCAATGAATATATTATAAGTTATTTTAAAACAAAAAGATGAGTAGAAATTTTCAACATTTTATAAATTATCTAATAACATACATGGTGCAAAAAATGTATTCAGGGGCGTGTAACGGAGACGAGGAAAAATCCCAAGGATTCCAATAACTTTACAAAATCTAGAAATACAATAATCTGTTACCAAGTCCCTAGAATTCACTCGACCGTAAAGAACGTCACGGCAGCTAACAAGTCGCCACCTATTATGAGTGCCTAGATATTTGTTTTCATCGTTTTTGCTTTGGAATATTCTCATTGTTAAGCTTAGTCTGGTAACAGGCTAGGCTAGCCATTCCTCTACCTTGCTTCTCTTTACTCATAATTCTCATGTATCTCTTTCTTTTTTTTTTGGTCGAACTCATGTATCTCTTTCTTGGTCACGACCATCTTTAAATAATAGAAAAAAAATAGCATCGATATTTTGAATTCTGAATAATGCTTGGAAAAGTAAAAGAATTATCATTAAAAGACACAAACATATGCGGGTTGGAGAAATGAGTGAATCAGCTTTTAATACTCAAGGTTGAAGATGGTCTAACCATACAAAGGAATGAGTAGATGTGCTACTAAATTGAAAAAATATATATTAATTAATTCTTTCAACATCATTCATAAATTCAAGCAAAGAATATTCTCATTCATTCTCCTCGGTATCATCCTCTCTCCTTGATCTATCAAATTAGTAACTAGCTTTATACCCGCCCGTTGGACGGCAAATTTTGATTGGTTATCATATTTTTCGTCCTAGTATTATAATTTTATTTATGATTCATTATGTTAAACAATTATACATTGAATTGTAAATCTCACTTACCAAATTTCATATATTATTTCACATTTTTATATATTTCAATTATTTATGAAAATTTAATTTTATTAGATGAGCTCTCTCTAGTACTTTCTATATTGATTTATAATTATGTATTGAATCCACCATTTAAGATATAAACTAAGAGATTATTAATTTTTTAGCACACAAAGTGACAAAGAAGTTAAAATTTTGAAGGACACAAAAAAAGTTAAAATTTGCAAAAATATTTCAAGTAATAAAAAAAGTGAAGAGCTTTCTTTTTCTCACCCTTCTCGTACGTTGGTATATGATAATAGAGAATATCGCGATCTAGATCCCACAAATATCGTGCAATATCAGTTACTCGTGTAATTTTAGAAGAATGAGAAACCACATTGGCATCCACATCATCAATCTTCCGCTTCTTCGTTTAACCACCTGCTACATACTATTTACTTGATCAGATCATCGTCATATAGCTAGCTAGTAACATGTCACTCATGAACATAATAAACATAATGAACAACTCTACTTTCCATTTTAACATCCAAGGAATCGAGTTGCAATAGGCCTCCAAGGAAAATGATCAATTATTCAACCAAAGGAGAGATGCTCCAAGTCCAAGCAACAAACCCTTTGAATTATATGTTACATGTTTACATCAAAGTATACAGGATAACAGAGAACCATAAAACAACTACCAAAATAATGAAGAAGAAATACAACCATTGAATCGAAAAGGGAAATTTACTATCCGGCCGCCGTAATCTAGAAGAAATTAAGAAAAGGATGGGAAGAAGACTATAACTCGGCCAGTGAACCGCTAGCAGTCAGATATCTCCGAGGAAGAAAAATCAATTGCCCGCTGCGGATCAAAAGGGAAGAGGGAGAAATGATAGGTTGGACTTTTCTTCGTCAATAGGCAAAAATATGTTAGAGTTGTTCAATTCTTTCCCAACAAATCATTGCATCATTTAACTCCCACATCCTATTCTCCTACAAAGAGAAAAAAAACTCAATATGCTTTACCATTTCCTTTCCTATATCTATATACAAAAAAGTAGAGAAGACAAATTCTAGAAACTCAAAATTTAAGCAAATAAGAAGAGAGCTTTATTATTTTTTGTGGGGCTTGATCTAGTTTCTTTATTATCAATGTTATGTTTTATTTTCAATGTTGTATGGGAAAATGAATAGGAACAAACCAGAATGTTGCATTCATTTTTATTAACTTAATTTACTTTTTATTGATAACGATGACAATTTAAAGAGTAAGCAAAAAAGCACACCAATTAGACCTTGTCCAGCGTCGAAGGGTGAGAGCTAGCCATGTACCGATGTGGCACTAAATTAGTTTTAGATTCCTACAATATTAAGTAATGATTTCTTTGAATTTTTTTTATAAAATGTAATAACTCGTAGAAACATGGTGACATTTTACATACATTTGAATTCTAGAATGTATTGTAGACATATCTATTAATATCTAAGAATATAACAATTTTATTTTAATTTTTAACCCTGATTAATACCTTTGAACTCAGCTCATCGACTGAAATATGAAAACGAAATTTTGTGGCTAGGATAACTCGATCTAAATACAAATTGCTTACTGTTACAAACCAAAAGATTTCCATTTTGAGACTTCGATATTGAAAAAGTTTTTGTTATTGCAAAAATTTGGTATGGAGTCACAGACTCACAACCATATAGCTGGGGTTGTTTGCTTGATGAATTTGGAGCTATCGTGAACTTTGTCCAACCACTGCTTGCGTCATGTATTTAGAGGCAACAAATATGTGGGTCTCATGTATTTTAAGGTTCCAAATTCGTGGGCCCCAAGGACTTGAAAATGTCACCTCTTTAGATGGAAATTGATCATGGACTTTGAAGTCTATTATTTATGACCAACCTACCCCTCATAATTCATTTCCCTTCTCATACCAATGAGGGTAATATATGTCATTTTCACTTTCAACATACAAATTCAATTAACCAAATGCATCATGAAATCTATGAAACGAAATATGGTATTTTCAAATCCATAATGAACCAAAAACACTCATATATCCATGCTTTTACAAAATCCAAGTTTTATTAAAACTTTCAGTTTTCAAATCCACGAAGCAAACGACCCCAATGTTTTATTACAATTGTCTTACTAAACTCATCCTTATTAAAGATTCTTTATTTTAACACAATACCTCAATTTAGATTCTTGTAGCTACAAAATTTTTTTGTTTAGATATCTCAACTAACACACTTATGTTTATTTATTGCCTCAATCCTCGAATTTAGATTTGTCTACTAAGACATCAACTATTAAATAAATTTTTTCAACCCTTATTTGATCAATGCTAAGGTTAGTGGTTGATGAAACGTGATGTTTATCGTATATCCTCAACGAAGATTTTCTTAACCTTCACATCTGTTGTTTTTTAAGTGATGTTGTGTCTCATCCTAGGTATGAAGTCAGAACTCGTCAAAAATCATACTTAAGTAATTTTGAAAACTTTGATGTAATAATGTTCGACAATAACTCCAAATCTGAAAAGAAATTACTTAGCATTCGACTTATGACCTCAATAGAGATCGTTCAATTAATATGATCTAGAGTGAATATTTTAATATAAACCCTAGGACAAATTATAAATTATTGCACACCTGATTCCTCCTAATTTGAGAAACTGAAGGTAGAACATGAATGTATGTTTTCACTTAATCGTGATGAATAAGAAGTTTTTTTAAAGAAATAACTATTATTGCTTAGTCAAGTTTATATTTAGACCTTTTGCTAAGTTGGGTACGCACATTAGCGGATCTAGGAATTTTACATAAGGATGGCCTCTCTCAAAATGAAATTAAATTTAAAATTTAAATAATATAATTATTAAATAAACAAATACCCGACAAGTAAAAGTTATAACAAAAATCCACGATGTGTTTCGTATAAAAAATGATAAAATACATTTGGTATCTACACGGCTCAAGAAACCTCTCTCGATATATCCTACTAGACAATGGTAGCCTGTACTTGGATTTAATTGTTAGATTTTGAAAATAATTGGGGATATGAATACTATTATATTGGAAAATAAGTGGTGGACACCCCTAAACCTCCATGAATCCGCCACTAAGTAGACGTTTATTAATTGTAGTTGTCATCCACGGTGGGAAGTCACTCCTCAATTGACTCATCAATCTAACGTGTCTATCTATATTTTGAGCTAGCCAAAAAAAAACTAACCATCAACTAGATTCAATTTTCTCCAATATCTCACCCTTCTAACACTCATTGATAACCATATATTTTATGTGTTCAAATCATGCAATTGGTAACAGAAATCGATCATGATGATAATTTTTTTTTTATCACGTCAAATATGCATGTCATTGGTCATTGTGTGAATTATCATTGCACTAATATGAAATAGGCATATACCATCATTCATGGTGTGAATTATGAATTACATTAACATAAATTAAACATGAAATATGCATGTCATTCGTCATGATGTGAAGTATCATCAAGTTAACATAATTTAGGAATGAAGAAATACTAATAATTTGTTTTGTACTTGTCCTCTTGTTGTTGATGTCTGGAGGGTTACAACATTGCTACTATCTTTGCAAGGTTCACTCCATGTCTACACCTCAACGACCATTTGAGGGCGGTCTCTTCTGTTGTCTTTCATCTGTCCATAATAATGGCATCCTA